GCCTTGGGCCGGCCCGAGGCAACCGGTTCCTCCGCATTCCCTGTGTGGTCTGGCCCAGGTGGCTGGCTGCCCTCTGTGTGCCATGTTGCAGTGGCCTCGAGGCCTGGCCTCTGAGGGGCGGGGGGCCAGTGCTTTCCTGGAGCAGGTTGGGCTCTGCCTCTTGGTAAATTGCATGGAGTTGGTTCTGCAGCAGGAGATCCCTGGCCGCTGCTCTCGCTCTTCCTCCCCCAGGGCCTCAGTCCAGCTCCAAGGAGAAGTGAGGTCGCTCAGGCTGCTGAGCTAGAAACAGAAGCCCTTTGGAAACCAGCCCCTTCCCTGGGTAGAAGCAGGTCCACCTCTTCATTCCAACTGCCCTTTGATCCCAGTCTGCCCTGTGTGTGGGGTGGGGGAGGCTGTGCAGGGACAGGTCACTCCTCCCGCACCAGGATGGGCTCCTGCCTTCCAGGAAGCGCATCAGAACTCAAAGGCAATTGGAGCAATTATTAAGACAATTGAAAGCACATTGAAAACACCAGGCACTGCCCGCGGTCCCCTTCCCCTCCTCACTCCTGGCCTGCAGCACAACTCCGACTCCTTGTGTTTATTCACCTTCACCTGAATAAATGGCCCTTTGGTGCACTGCACCGAGGACTTGCAGCTTGGCTGTGCTGCTGTCGAGGGTGATAAATCAGAGGCGAAGGCTCAGGGACATGAAGGCAAGCCTCTGCCGCAGATGGCCTGGTCGCAGAGAGGTGACGGTGTCCTTGCCCCACCAGGTGACCTCATGTGTCCAGGACCAGGGCTGGCCTGCTAAGTGGTGACTCTTAGCCTGTCCTCTGCTTCTTCCTCCTCCCCCTGGGAGAGGCTGCCGAGGAACCGGAAGCAGGAATGTCTGCAGAGCAAGCCTCTGTGTCTTTGGAGAAGGCCAGGCCAGGCCCTCGGAGAAGCCAGGCTTTCTCCATGGCCGGTAAGTGTGCCCTCCCCGATTCCTGTGCTCTGTTTGGGTCGCGGTGCCCGAGACGCCGGGGAAGTGACCCTCTTATCCCGCTGCCTTGTTTTCCCTTTCACTCCGTCTCCTGGTTCTGGGTGGGAAGCTCCCGTCACCCAGGGCGTCCTGGAGGAGCCACCAGGGCCGCGGAGGAGGCCGCTGTCCTCTGACCTGGCGGGCCCAGGGGGGCGGGCGCCGTGCTCCCCACGGGTTCCCGTGGCTCTGCCCCAGTCTGTGGGGACTCACATGCTCCTCGAGGCTCAACTTTCTTTGCTCTAAGGACAGTTTCCCTCCCGGCCCCCCTCCTTTGCCCTGATTCCTGCTCTCTGCCAGGAGGAAATTCCGGGCCTTTTTTTTAAAACGATGTATTTGCTCCTCGTGGAGGCCCCAAGGTTCCTGCAGTGGGAGGCTGCTTGGGTCCCTGCTCCATGTCCCAGGAGGGCAGCTGCTTTGGAAGTGATCAGCCGGGCTCCACCTCACTGCTTCTGGGAGGGCAGCTGCGGGTGGTCCCGTTTGTGGTGGGCTGGGCGAGGGCCATGGTCACCGAGAGCTGTCTGAGCCCTGCCGGCCTCCTCTGACCTCCTCCGCTGCTGTTACCAGGAGTCCTGCATTTTTATGGTCTGATTGAAATGCAGAAATCCATCCTGGCTCATTCCATGGACTGGTGTCTTTGATAACTGTGAACTGTTTGTGGGGTTGATTTAACATGCACTTTGGAGAAGGCATGCTCTGCTTTGGGGTCAGGGTGGTGGTGGGGAGGAGGAGGAAGAGGAGGAAGAGAAGGAGCAATGATTGAGATAGTTCCTTGATTGAGCTCACTTTGTGCCCAGTCTTCTCCTGAAAGCTGAGCAAAATCGACTCATCTCCTCCTTTGGTGACTCTGCCCTTATCTCCATCTTCCAGAATAGCCCAGAGAGGCTGAGTCGCTTCCTCATGGTCACACTGCTGGGGAGAGCAGAACTATGTTCTGGAGGCTGTTAATGCCAGAGAGCAGTTTCCTGACCACCTGTCTTTGTCGTCTACGACCTAGTGCCTCTACTCTGTAGGATGACCAGTTGTTCCAGTTTGCCCAGGGTACCCTGCTGCGGTGGTGGACATGCGGTGGTGGACATGCGTGTCCCACTTATCTTGCATGCAGGCCCCAGCAGGCTTGTGCAGACGTCGTTAAGGAAATGTAACACCCACAGAAACAGGAGGCCTGGGACTTGGCGCTTCAGCCCTTCCCCTGGAGGGAGGCGACCATTCCCTGTAATACGTGTCATTTCCGAGACCCAGGAGAGCATCCAGTGCTGACTCAGGCCCTGGGCGTGGGTGGGGACAGGGTGCCTGGCGTGGCCTGTCTGGGAGGCCTCGGTGGAGACAGGGAAGGGAGGGGAGGTGACCCTGGAGCCCCCAGCCTCTTTTGTAGCACCCAGCAGTTCTGATGCCACCGTTGGAAGATCCGAAAGTGAATGTGCTCCTGGGTGACTGTGGTTGGAGAGAAAGGTGCCACCGTCGCCCAGTTCCCGCAGCTCCTGGTGGGACCTTCCCTGCCCCCACAGCTGTTGGGGAAAAACAAAAACAAAAGCAAAATGAGAGCCACCTGTTCAACCCTGCGCCCTAACTTAGCGAGTCCTCGCGCTCAGAGCCAAGGGTGAGGCCCTGCTGGGGCGAGGTCCTGGGGTGCCAGGGCTGGCAGCGTGGGCCTCAGAGCCAGCACAGCTGCCTGGGTTCAGTTCCCTGCCTGCCCCTCAGCAGCTGTGCCGTCTTGGACAAGTGACCTGGAGGGAACCCCAGGGAAGCCTTTTAAATGATGCCTTGTGCTTATTGCATGTGACAAAGGACAGTCTTGGCTGTTAATACCTGCGGCTCAGGAAGGCTCAGAGCCAGGCCTGCTTGGAGCATGGATCCCCTCAAGTCACGGCGTGGCCGGGCAGTGGCGGGCAGGGTTGTTTCTGGTGGTTCCCACTTAGGTCTCATCACATGCTTGGCTCTTGGTACCCAGGAGACTTCCCGTATTCTGAAGATCTTGGGGAAGTGTCACCAGCCGGGAAACGTGTGCTGCTTCCTGTTGCGGGCCAAGACGTTTCCCAGAGTCATCACCATGGCCCTCCCCGGCCCGGTTCACCCGCATGATCCCTCCCAGGCCAGACCTACCTGGAGGGCGGGTAGGGGCCCAGGGTTGCTGGTGGGCCAGCCCCATAGAGTCACCAGAGAAAGTGGCCAGGAAAACCCAGACCGAAACAGAACCCAGAAACCCTTCAGGTCAAAGGTGAACCCTTCCCTGCGTCGCAGTCCAAGTGGCTGTTGGTCATCCTTCCAAGTTCGTGGATGAAATGTGCTTAGCAATACGGCCCCGTCAGAATGAAATCATTAAAGGAGGAAAAAAAAATTGACTCAGCCTTTTGGAAAAGCTCCCTGTGGTGGCTTCGTTACCATGACGACAGCCAGATTCCTACCACCATCTTGTCACCACCCGAGGCCTGGTCTCAGCCAAGGGCTTGCGTCAGAGCTGACCGCCATCTCCGACCTCTGAAGGGTGTGGGGTCTGGACGTTTCCTGGGGTTTCTGCCTCGTGAGGAGCCTTCACGGAAGGCCCTGCTCTTGCCAGATGTGTCTGCTGATTGGGGGCTATTAAATTTCTGCCCCTTGGATACAGCCACTCAACTCTCATTAACTCTGGGGGGAATCGGGGCCTTTGTAACCGCAGACAATTGCCCTTTTTTTTTTAAATTATTTATTTATGTTTTTAAAAATATTTTTAGTTATCCATGAATACCATACCTTCATTTTGTTGGTTTAGTTGTATGTGGTGCTGGGGATCGAACCCAGGGCCTCGTACATGCCAGGCAAGTGCTCCAACACTGGAGCTACAACCCCAGCCCCCACAATTGGGGTTTATATGTTCTGATGAGACTGGAAAGTTGGGGATACTCTTCAGTGTGGTGACCCTGGGCCAGACCCGTCCTTCCACAGTGCAGGACCCCGTTTCCTCCTGGTGTCCTGGTGGGCTTGGGCAAACCTGCGTGGGGCGCTCTAAATGGTTGAGGGCAGTATTGATCTCTGGTGTTGTTCGTGGCATTAAAGGATTTTGAAGTCCCAGAGGGACTTTGAGGTCTTCGGGCCCCGTGGTCTTCATCTCTAGGACACCTCTGAGAAGCCTGAGTAGGCTGTGGCCGCTCGGCCCAGGGAGTGGAGTCTGGGTGCAGGACGCGCCTTGGGTTGGTGGTGGGCTCCAGGGTCCCTTTCTTTCTTCCTTCCCCACTTTACAGACCAGGTGCTGAGCCCCTGAGAGGGGAAGACACTTCCTAGGGTCTTTGTGATGTCGCCTCATTTTCGGGCCTGGTCACCTGGCCTGGCTCTGTTTGTGGAGCCCCAGACCAGCCCCCGCAGGGTGATGGGAGGTGGGGGAGATGCCTCCCCAGGCCCGAGACCTCACAGTGCCCCCCCCACACACCACCCAGAGCATCTCCTGGAAGGCCATTGAAGAGAATGGCTGGGCCCTGCCCCAGTGTTTCTAATCCTGTAGATCCAGAGCAGGGCCCCAGATGGTCATTTCTAGTGTATTCTCAGGTGCTGCTGCTGCGGCTGCTCCTGCGGCTGCTCACCCTCACCCCAGGGGACCTCAGTCACAGAGATAACGGTGCCAGGGGGAGCTGGCGCTGCCCCGGCCCCGGCGGCCACCTGAGCACTGGCTGGGCTGGTCCCTTCACCAGACCCTGTGTGTCTGGGCCTGAGGGAAATGAGTGGCAGGTGCTGGGTGGTCCCTGCAGTGAGGATGAGCTTCCCTTCCAAGGTCCTCCTGAGAAACCTCCCTCCCTCTCCCACGGGTGAGCTTTTCTTCTCTCCCCATACACTTGAAAACACACCAACCAAAGCCTTCGCCTGATGGCGCTCTCTGTGTGTGTTTTGTGTGGCTGGGATGGAACCCAGGGGTGCTTTGCCGCTGAGCTACACCCCAGCCCCTTTTAATCTTTTTATTTGCTTATTTATTTATTTATTTAGTTAGTTCCGGGGATTGAACTCGGGGCCGGGGGTGGGGGGGTGGGCACTTGACCACTGAGCCACATGTCAGCCCTGTTTTATTTAGAGACAGGGTCTCACTGAGTTGCTTAGCGCCTCACCACGCCATGGCTGAGGCTGGCTTTGAACTCTCAATTCTCGTGTCTCAGCCTCCTGAGCTGCTAGGATTATAGGCGTGTGCAGCCGGGCCCGGCTCCTTTTTATTTTTTGAGACAAGATCTTGTAAAGTTTGGAGGCTAACTTTGAACTTGTGATCCTCCTGCCTCAGCCTCCTGAGTCAATGGGATAACAGGTGTGCACCACCACTCCTGGCTCAAAACACCTTTTTTAAACTTTAATACTCTGACACTTGAGCAGAGTATGGGGGTGTACTAGAGTCGTGTAGCACAAATCCCAAGCACCTTCTGTGGTTCTCAATCCAGTCCCAACTTTATCCACCTGGGATGTTTTTATCCTGAATTGGGCCTCCTTCGTTCATCAGGGACTTTGGTTCGCACCTGCTGCTTTTTTTCTTTCTTTTTAAATGTGTAACTGAACTTTATAAATACTTTTAATCTCCCTTATTTTGATAAAGTCATCCAGGCACATAGTGAATACAATACACAGAGGTATACAGGTCCCTACAGGTCTCCTTCCAAGGCGGCCACCTGTCCCCATGTAGAGCCCTGCTGAGCTTTTGTGTTCATGTGAGAGTCTTCTGAGGATGCACAGGCACATCCTTACAGGTCCCTTAATGTGCTGGATACCTGTTGCTTTTACAACGAGGCACTGAAGCTTGACAATCTCAGTTCATGGGGAGGTGCCCTTTGGATCCTTTCTATTTTGCAGTGCTAGGGAACACACCAGGGCCTCGCACATCCCCGGCCCTTTTTAATTTTTACTTGGAGACAGGGTCTCACTAAGTTGCGGAGGCTGATCTTGAACTTGCCATCCTCCTGCCTCAGCCTCCCGAGTCACTGGGGATGACAGGTGTGGGTCACGGCGCCTGGCTGCCTGTCTTTCTCAAGGGCTGGAGCATTCCATGGTGTCTGTGGACTGGCTCTTCGTGGACACATAAGTTGTCCAGTTCTGGGCACAACCCACGGTGGGGACTGTGGAGCCAGGCCGTGTGGAGAGAGGGAGTTTTCCTGTCGGGCAGTGGAGAGGACCCTTCTGGGAAAGCCGTTTTCCCTGTCCCGGGTTCTGTCCTTTAGCTTTCTCACTAACTGACTCCTGTGCCTTGGGGGCAACCCCCTGGGCTTTCTGGGCCTCCACTTGGTGTCTGTGGGGTGCTCCCCCAGACCCGGGGCTCTTAACCCTCAGGACACCTGTGGTTAGCACTGAATTTCCTCTCATCACTGGTCTGCCGATCATGGGTTCAGAACTTTCTGGAAGCCTGGTGGTGAGGCAGGAGAGTCCGCTCATGGTCAGGCCTTGTGCACCCGCTAGAGGCTGCCCACCCTCCCAAATCACAGGGAGGCCTTGCATTGGGCGATGTTGGACCAGTCCACCTCCCCTGGAGGCGGGAGATGGCGCAGGGTGGTGTGCGTGCCCAGACCTGCCCGGTGGCGAGCTGCAGGAGGAACATCTTTCGAGATCGCCATCTTCCTGTATCTCACATCCCGTCCCAGCCTGGTGCGTGGGCTGTGCT